AATTTTCAAAATCTGATTTTTAATTTTTTTTACTAATATGGATTAAGATATATTTACAGTCAAAGATGTGCGTTGCCAAATGTGAAATGTTGACTGTTGCAATTAAAAAAGAACGGAGGAAGTACTCCTTAGTTACTTTTAGTCATATTTTTTAAAATAAACTTCGTTTCAATATTTTTTAAAAAACCTCTTATAAATAATTAGTGATTAAACCAAGCATTCCAGCTCAGCTGGTTGCGAGTTTGTCGTGCTAGTGAGAGGTCTCGAGTTCGAAACCCGCTAGGCATATACGGGGTTGGAACTCAATTGAGTGAATTTCAGCCCCTATTACTCCAGGCTCCCCCAGCCCTCTCCCCCAGATCCCTTGAGTAAAAAAACAATAATAAAAAAAATAAAAAATTAAAAAATTAATTAGTGATTAAAGTTAACAAATTTTGACTTTACTATTTAAATCGGAACTGAATTAGGGGACAAAAGTAGTAATATATGGAGTATTATAATACGAGTAGTATATTTCTGCAGAAAACAATCCAATTTTTTTAGTTGAAAACAGAGTGTATTCTCAGAAAAGAAGAGATTATTTCAATATTTGTAGGTCCTACAAAGCCATGTTTTCTAACTAAAACAATAATACCCAATTTATTGAGATGACTCATTGACTTACTCATATTTGCTCTGATTTCTTATGAAGAATATTAAACTACACACAATATTTGTTCAATAATAATAGCAACATAAATAATCACCTTGATCTTGAGAGGACCCTCCACTGGTATATGGATTTCTGTAAAACACACTAAATCCTTCACAGCCATCATACTTCTCATAACCCTGGAACTGATGATCAACCTTCATCTTTTTTCTGCATCTGTATAATATGATGATGGGACTGACTCTATATACAATGGAAGGAGAATTCATGAAAGTGATATTCCTATAGAGAAAGCTGCACTCCCTTTCCTTCAAAGAAGTGGACAGGTACATGTCTGAAAGCTTGAGAAAAGGATAATCCATCCCTAAAACATCATATAATTCACTTCCAAATTCAAGTTTTGGGTTCGGTTTGGCGTCGCAATCCACGGTAAGCAGCCCGCACCCCGCAGGCCCCGATGATCGGCTTAATGGGAACCATGTGCTGTTGAGGCTTCCACAGGAGAAGGACTCTGGGCAATAATCAGATTCTGTTGAGTTTAAGGCTTTGGATGGAGGAATGAACAATACCTGATAGATGAAAAATAAAGTGGGGAGGAAAGAAATAGTCATGTGTTACAACATTTATGTGTTATCTCTCTCTCCCAAACCTACATAAAAGTTGAGCTAATGCTTTCTTGTCGTATCCTTCCATTCTTTTTATTATGAGAAAGACTTGGAAAAAGGTGGAAGCTAAGCCCCATAATATTGTTTCAAAACCACTTTAAGGAACCTAACTAGTAACTACTCCATATATTCTCTAGCAGAAGCCTTAATATTCTACGGAGTATGTTTTATCTCTATTTTTTATATAGAAGTGATTATTTTCAATCTTGGAAAATACTAACATGTATAAATTTTGATAATAGCAAATTTAACAATAATAGTCAACTAAGTGTTACATACGAAGTACGGAGTATAACATCCCCCATTCAGATGGATAACTAAGTATTCCCTTTGTCTATTAAGATTCTTCACTTTTCTTTTTGGTCCGTCCTACTAATTAATAAATTTTGTGTTGTTCTAAAGGATTTTTTTATTCTCACTTTATCAATTAAATGTCAATTGTGGAAGACGCATATACGTGTGGACGATTGTCGATTGACCTCTTATCTTTCTTACTTTATCTCTTTTATCTTTTATCTTTCTTATGTTATTTTTATCGTATCTATCTTATTTTACCTAGTCTTTTTATTGCTCTTATCATTCATCTCCTTTTGGCTCTGATATAATGGATCGATTCATGTTAGCTGATCCCAAAAGTTTTTGGGAATAAGTTCAATCAAATAAATTCAATTTTTTTCAATTATGTTTGGATCAGATTTTGGGGGTGTTTGGGAAACGGCGTTTCAGCGAAAAATGGCGGTATGGCCACTTTCAACGTTTTTCAGTGAATGAAAACGTTGTTTGGTAAATAGCTTTTCGGCCCTAGCGTTTTTGGACGTAACCACTGAAATGTAAACACTACAAATAGGAGAGTTTTAGGTTAGCATTTTGAAAATGACATTTTCTACTAATTTACCAAACATCTTTTAGTAATCCACCAACTTATTCCCCTAGTCAACCTCGCTGAGTTATTAACAACCCGCCAATGTAATCCGTTATTCGCTAATCGCTAAATGTGAGACACCTCCTTTATCTTTATTCGAGTGCCACGGTGAAGCAATATTCTTCCACGCCAATTTAGGGAAGCTATCACAGTTGACTTGGAATGTGTGGTTGGACTACAGAAAAGCCATCATTCATGGGAACAAATGGGGCACACCTCCTTCCAGGACAAATCGATAGTGGTCACTGGTCAGGCACAACCGACATTTGACTAGAAAAGATAGAATGTCTGGACAAAATATGGCTGAAACTATAAAAGGATCATGACTTCTTGACTTCTCATATACATGTGTCTCTTCTTTTTACCAACCAATACTCTATTTAGGGTTGATTATACTGTACGGCCTGTGAGTCAAATGTAGGGCCTCACAATCAGGTGCACTTTTGTGGTCCAGTTGCTTAGTGGTGAAATCACACCTACCTTCTCTGTACACCCTCACTGCCTCACACAAAACTTATCAAATAGAAGTACTCCGTATTTACAAAGTCTTTTTCCCATGATTCTCCTTACATTTATGAAGTAGCTTAACACTAGAGAACGGAGAGAGTAGTAATGAAGGCAACGATTTCGTGTAGTGAGAGGGGCAATATGGAAGGGGCAAGTGATGTAATTGTTGCTGGATTCGTCCCTTGAAGACAATACAGACAAATGTGACAGTAATAAAATCTGTGTTTACTTGTCTAGGGCTTTAGATGGTACTACAAAGATTTCGAGATTATGTCTACTTCACAGAAATATTTTTAGTCGAAAAAGTACAACCTCAAAACACGAATTCGAATATGATGAAATTAGGGGTGGACTCGGGCCGGGTGGCCCGGCCCGGTATTGTTTGGGCCCGGCCTGGTACCCGGTCTTGGAGCCGGTTCGGGCCAACCGGAACCGGTCAGTTCCCGATGCGGGCTTGGGCCCCCTAAAACGCGAACCGGCCCGGCCTGTTCGGGCCTTTTTTTTGTTTTTTCAATTTTTTTATTCTACCGGGTTGGGTGTTTTGGGGGTGGGGGGGGGGGGGGGGGGTTGGGGGGGGGGGGTGAAAGGGGGGGTCGGGGGTTGATTACAAAAGCAAAACAAAATAAAAAAAAATAAGCCCGAACCGGAACTGGCCCGGTTTGGGCCCGGCCCGGAACCACCGGCTACCCGGGCCGGTTCCGGTTCCACCTTTCCCAGATAAAAGCCCGACCGGGCCCAGGCCCGAACCGGAACCACCCCTACATGAAATGCATGCACATGTTTTATCTTGCTTGATCAATGATATATTGATATATCCTTATAGATATAATCTTAAGCATAAACTAATTTCTTGTTGTGCCTTCAGTCGACTTCTCGAAAATCAAAGGAAAATACTCCCTCCGTCCCAAAAACAACTTCCCACTTTCCTTAAATGGATGTCCCAAAATTAATTTCACACTTCAATACTTTCCTTATTTGGCAAATTATTTACTTAAAAATTGTGTTAAACAGTGCCAAGCAGTGTCAAACAGTGTCCAAACAATGTCAAACAGTGTTTAAACAGTGCAAAACAGTGCACTCTACAGTAAAGTCAAATTTATTTTCTTAATCTGTGTGATTGTCAAACTGTGAAGTTGTTTTTGGGACGGAGGGAGTAATAGATTCGGAATCATATGGAAAAAATCAAGATATCATTACTAACACAAGCAATTCGTTGACATCTAAAATATATGGAATCACATGGTAGCATATCATGTCTAATACATAGTAGATCAAAAAAAAAGATTGGTAACATTGAGAATTCAATATAGGGGAAGGCACCACCCAAGTTAATAGCTTGTCTCAAGAGGGGTTAATCCTCAACGTCTTGAAGATACTTGAACCAATGCGCCCAAAAGGGGTTGTCGTTTGGCCATCTAGGCGGGTGGGAACTAATGTCATCAACTGCAACCCTTATAACTTATAAGGGTTCGCCGAGCGACCTCCGACTCCATATCGGAGATGAGGGAGATTTGTCATCCAATATCATAACAGGTTAGGACTCAAGAGAGAATAAACTTAACAGGTTATTGACTCACCCGAAGCTAGTCGAGCACATTGGTGAACCTATCAGCCAACTCAATCTCATTTTTCCAACATGGATAATTGTACAAACTCTTGTATTCGACTAGTACCAGCCTGAAGGGCTTTACTTAACTGATTAGCTCTGATGGTAGTTCAATAAGTCAATAAGGGAAGTTGACACCCAAATCCAACTGCGTTGGGCAGATAAGCCTCAACGGCTACTCTGTAAATGTTTTCCCATAATCTATCTTTTAAAACACAATGTAAATACTGTTTCAGCCAAGATTATGAGCTACATAAATGAACTGCTAGTACCCAATTCAATGTTAAATGTTCACTTTTTCTTGCTAGCGTAGTTTTGTACTTGAAATCTCATCATAGCCCTCTTAAAATATACTCCATCCGTCTCCCTATAATGGTCTCATTTTTTCATTTTTGGATGTCCCCCTATTATTATCTCATACCATATATGGTAACATTTGTGTGGCTCAAATTCATTCTTACTTTATTCTCAATTTATCAACTCATTATCCACCACATAATTCTACTTTTCATAAAAACCACATCACTCTCTTCCGTCCAGAAGCCGAGAACTAAAGAAATACAAAAGTTCATATTCACACAAATAATACCATTCTCAGTTAGATACTGTTATATGTTCCTATACCCAAAATAAGACAAAAAATCGTGTGTGAATATCTTGTCCCTACAAAAGTATTGTTGTGCAGATGTGTGTACAAAGACCATTTTTTATAAAGGAGTAAAAGTAACAGATAAGCAGTTCGTATAAGAGCGGTTTATTTATATACTTGTACCTTGTGGTACAAAAGGGAAGAACACAGTAGGCTGTAGAGCAAGCACATTAATACTAACAATTAATTAATGCCTTGAACAATTTTCAATCACTAACTGGTTGTGAACACTGCTATACACTATATTTAGTACTAACCCACTTTTGCATCACAGAATCTGGAGAAACCAGGACTTCCTGCAGCATAAAACAACCCGAATCGGAAGAATTTCGAGTAATATCTGCACTCTTATCCACATTTGAAGCCTCAATGTTATCACCTTGAATCTCCAATAACCTAAGCAACACTTCCTCCATTGCAGGCCTCAACTCTTTGTCCAGTTGCAGACATTGGAAACCCAACTCAGCCACTGAACTCGTCATCCTCGTCACCACTTCATCCGTTTCAAAACCCAACGATTTATCCACCAACCTGTTCATTTCCCCTCTCAACATTCGTTTCATTGCCAAGTCCGATAAATTAATCTCATCCTTACCCCTATCCACATCCACTGCTGGCATTGATGATATGAGCTCAATGAGAACAACTCCAAAGCTATAAACATCGCTTTTATCCGTGAGATGATAACACTTATGGTACTCAGGGTCAACGTACCCTGGGGTGCCCTGAGGCCCAGTTGAAACATGTGTGACGTCATTTGGGAAGAGTCTCGAAAGCCCGAAGTCTGCAACTTTAACGGAGAAGTTGTGGGTCAAGAGGATGTTGGCGGTCTTGATGTCGCGGTGGATTATGTCAGAAGCGTGTAGGTAGGCTAAGGCTCTCGCGGTTTCAACTGCGATGTTCATCCGGATGGGCCAGTTCAGGGGAGGGTCTCCGTTTGATATCATCCTGCCGTGGAGGTGGTCTGAAAGCGTTCCATTGGGGATGTACTCGTAGACCAAGAGGAGCTCTCGGCTGTGCTTGGATGTGCATCCGTATAGGGTGACGAGGTTCGGGTGCCGGATGCCAGCAAGGATTTGAATTTCATTTATGAATTGCTCCTTCCTCTTGCGATTCTGCTGGTAAAGATACTTCACCGCAACTTCCCTTCCATCCTGTAGCTTCCCTGCATCACAGAAGAACATCCATGCCATTAATGATCACCTCCGATCTCTATTCAGAACATCCTTGCCTAATAGTGTCCTGAAAATTGCTGGGTAGGTTATCAACTCAAGAGTTAACCAAGTCCAGAGAGAATTTGGTAGGCATTAATACTAAATTAGACAATACTCACTTAATGAGGATACAGAAAATGTCATTTACCTTATGCCCACATATATACTCTGTATAATGTATGTGTGTGTGTTATATTAAATAATTAGTAGTAAACATGTTAACTTTCTCATATGTTGGGCAGCGATCTCTTAAACATATACGAAGTATATTAGTACGGAGTAACAAATATGGTAAATGTTTTCATATATTGGTAACAGATCTCTTAAACATGCGATGTAGAACGTTCAATATGCTCCTCAATCCATACCGGGCTAGACAATTTAAGAAACGATAATCAGGCTGAACTGACCCCAGCTACAAATTCCCAAATAAATGATAATCTGTGACTACAATTTAGTCACAGATTTTTTTGTTGAAGAAGAGCTATATGCACAATTTGAAATAGAACTAGTCAGTTATTTGTAGAGGAGAGCTTTCTAACCATAGTAAACAGTCCCAAAGCCACCATCTCCAAGTTCTCTAGACGAAGCGAAATGATCTGTAGCCTTGTCAAGCTCCTTGTGGGTGAAGATGGGAACTCCATAGTCCTTACTACTTTCCCCCTTTGATGACTTGCTTCTTGATATATCATATAAAGACTTGTGACGCTTTCTTTTGTAAATCACTACAACCAATATTATGCCTAAGAGTACACCCACAGCCAATGCAACTCCACCTAAAACAGACACAAATATAAGGCACTATTGAACTAATCAACTAAGACAACATTTTAGGATAACTACAAGAGATGTGAGGAGAACTGCAAAGTAGTTATATCAGAACTCAGAAGTGTACCTGCTTCAAGCAGTAGATCATGATCTACTTTCCCTGCAACTAAATTCAAAGGGAATATCAGGCAATTAGTAAAATATTTAGGCAAGCAACCACTCTAGGATCCAATATCGAAAATTTGCAAAGCAACGTAAAAATCATATATTCATATTAAATTATTATGGAATAAAAAGTTGTATTGATTGTGTTATTAACTTAGTTGAGAACAAGTACATACGAGTTTATATAAGACATTTGATACAGTATATATGATTGTACAACATGTTAAGAAACATGTTGTACAATATAATTAGAAAAGGAAGTCCACTAGATGCATAAAATTTCTAATGTAACACTCGGTATTGGTTGGGACGGGTACCTGTTAACCATTATTGTAAAAACCCCACCAACCTTAAATAATTCCTGCAAGGCTCTGTCCTTGGGCAACTGGGTTATCTCTTGATTAGGTCTCGCCTAACCCTTATTAATCCCTAACTAGGCACTAGCTTCAAATTGGTCTCTTAACTAGCCCAGTAATTTTTTATTTCATGTTAGGCCCGTTAAATTCCATTAGAGCTACTACCCTATTAAACTATGACTGGGCTACCATCCCATTAGATGCCTACTCAGTGCTCTAAAAGGCGCTAGGCAACATCTCCACGGTAACTCGGGCTTTAGCGACTACATGGCCTTAGGCCTACTAAGTAAGGCCAATATGAGAAAACATCACACAAGAGTTTTGATAAAGTGGTGCCTCGACCTATCGGTAGAGCCGTGATTGGCACCATGGAAAATAACACATTTTGGCATGTACCTGTGCCCATATCAGTACCTTTGGAGCAATGATACCTATTGGTTTGATCAACAATGCATAAACCTCCTCTGTCATGACACTCAATACAGTCTTCAGACAAACTCCATTCCAACAAAAAGGTTGCATTTACCAAACCAAACGGGCCTTCTCCATTGGGCATAACCTCTGAGCTCAACGGGATTGGCAGCTGAATCCGCGAACAACCAGCCTGATCAAAGTCGTGATCTGCAATGTACCCAAAGTCTTGATCCTCGTACGGCTTCTTATAGAACACTACAAAACCTCCTGTCTCAAAGCTGCTACATTTATCATACCTCAAAAAATCATGGAAATGGCCATTAATACTCTCGTTCTGGCTTCTGTCCTGTTAAATAACAAAAAACAATAACCAATGTAGTCCTAATTATGGATTTCAAAAAATGAGCAAAAATAATTCATTTATATAAAACAAATTTCATATGGAAAGAGGAAATGACAGAGCTTGGATGTTCTGTCATTGCATAGCCAGGCCCTCATTATTAAATTGATGAAATACAATATAGATATAAGAAATAATGAGGGAGAATCCCGAGTTCCATACGGTCTGCTATGTATTTGGAAGAAACTTACAGAAGGTGTGTGTCCTAAGGAAGTATACTGCTCCCTACGCGAACCATCAAGATAATTCAAGTTCTATTTTGAACATATCATTAATGAATCATTTTAATATACACCATAATTAATATATCTAGATATTACATTGATATACTTCGTAAGTTCGTATTACATTGCCAAGTACCAACATACTTGATATAATCCAACTACATATACTAAAAACTTAAAAGTTTAAATATATTAATCATTATTGATTAATTAGTGTGCATAAATATAAGGAATGAATTTCAAAATGACCCCTGGAATGATACTGCAGAGCAAAAATATGGGGGTGTTTGGAACTAATTCTGTTTATGCTTCTTTTTTAAAGCAGAAGCAAAATCAGTTTTAAGAAACTGGTATCCCCAGTTTCTAAAAAAAACTGACTCTAGACTTTCACTCAAACACTCCAGGGAGCAGAAGCAGTTTTATGAATTAGATTCAAACACCCCCTATGATTAAATGACCACTGTCAGCACTATCAGTGCAGTCACTGCATCACTGAAATATGTTTACTATGCATTGAGAAAGGCATATTTTTGTACTTCACTTTGGTAATTTATTTTTCATTTTTTCTAAAAATAATAGACTGTCGCATTGAAAATAAAACACATACCTAACCAAATATGCAGAACTTAAAAGTGTAAAAAGTAAATAAGTATTTATAAATAAATAATGAATATATAATTAAATAGCTAAGTGTGTGTTCATAAAAATATATATATATATATATATATATATATATATATATATTCCCTCCATCCTGAAAACAACCTCTCATTTTGATTTGCACACATATTTATGCAAGATAAAGTATTCTTTTAAATTTCTAATTGTACCCCTATTTTATGTCAAACAAGTAAAAAGTAAGTGAAAAGTAGGGATAGTTATGGCATTTGCTATTAAAGAAAATCTTTTTATAGAAATGAGAAGTTTATTTTGTGAGACCCAGGTAAGGAAAGTGGGATGTTGCTCCTGGGCTTAGGTAGTACGTAGTATATACAAATTTGGACAAGAACACTAAAGGACTGTAAGTGGTTACTTTTTAAAAGAGCTTTTCTGTGTTTTGCTTCTAAAGAATGTAAAAAAATAGTTTAAAACAATAATAATGATCTCAAACCCGTGATTCTGCTTAAATTTACGCATTATTAAGTACAAAAATATGTAAGCTATTAAAACTGATCTTCACTTTCTATCTTAATAACACAAGAAGTGTACTCTTTTTCCAACTCCAATTTCTGCATTTTAGAATTAAGCACTTATAGGTTAACACTACTTTTGTTTTTTAAAGGAAAATGCAACACTACTTAATAAGCAAACATATAGGATAACTTGTTATTACCTTAACGATATTGCATCTGAACAAAGTTAAGTTGTGGTAAACTTCATATGATATAGCAGGAGAGTATGGGAGCGAGAAATTATGATAGAAAGTATCGCAGCTCTTCTTCGACAGAAGATTTTCAAGGTCACGATCAATTAATCTGAGAAAAAGGCTCTCCTTTTCGATCACATCATACTCTTTCCCATACAAATCCAGCTTCGGGTATGGTTTAGCCGAGCAATCCAGCCTGCTCAACCCGCAATCGGGCCGTGATGATTCTGGGAAGAAGGGGTAGCCCACCTTGCCCAGAATTCCGCAGTGGAAATCAGATTTGGGACAATCTTCATTCGGGGTTCTGTTCATTGCTTCTGTTAAGTGGGAATTCAAAAAAATATGACAGAGGATCATGAAACAAGTGAAGCGGAGTCTTGCTTCCATGGATGAACAAGTGACGATTACTGTGTACACCATTATTGTTGAGAATGAGGAAAAAGACATTCATGGGTTTTGAGGTTCCTAAATTCATGATTGTTGCTTGAAGTGTACGTTCCTTGTACTGATCTAAGGCCGCGGAAGTTGACTATGGAAATGGAAATATTGTGCTGAGACTTTGGTAAAACACTTCAGAAATTTCAGATGCAGAGACTCCCGAGATAAAGCCATAAAGGGACCTCAGCAGACAAAGTGGATTTTATCTCCACTCGCATGTCTAGTCATCTTTTTACGGTTTTCAGTCCGGATACTACACCAAACCCATTTAGGGAGTGTTTGCCACTGCTTCTACTAAAAAACACTTTTGGAGATGTAAGGAAAAAGTGATTAGTAGTAAAAGTTGATAGTGTTTAAGAAAAAAGTGATTTTGAAAAGTAAAAGTTGGTAGTGTTTGGTAAAATAAGTGCTTTTTGTGTAATAGAAAAGGGAAAAGCATTTTTCACACGCAAGTCGAGAAAAAGTAAAAATTGGTAGTGTTTGGTAAATAAGTGCTTTTTTAAGCCAAAAGCTGAGAAGTGCTTTTTTTAAGCAGTTGCAAACACTCCCTTAACCATGGAAATCAAACGAGGTTTCCATAATTACTACCTCCGTCCCATTTTATATGTCTTATGATTTGGCACGGTTATTAATGAAGCGGTTGAAAAAGTAAAAGTTGTGATTGACATTTGAGTATATTAAAGTGAAATGGTAGTAGGCCACATATTTCTTTCCAAAAAAGGAAAGGCGACACTTATTTTGGGACAACCCAAAAAGGAAAGTAGGACAGGTAAAATGGAACGGAGGGAGTATAAAATAGGGAGAGCCCCCAAATAAACTCTGAACTTACATAAAAAGTGCAAATCACCCCTTATATAAGAGATTCTGTCCAACCGTCGCCATTTGAGGCGGTTCCAAATGGACTTTTTTTATGAAATTTTTTGAGCTTCCTATTCACTAAGTCTAGTTTACTCACACCAAATTTCAGCTAAAAATTCAACCGGTAAAGTAGTCAAATGATTTTCTGAAATATATTGCGTTGTTTAAGTGCGCTGTTATCTTCAAAAATTCATTTGACTGCCTTCCTGATTGAATTTTTAGCTGAAATTTGATATGAGTAAAACTAGACTTAATGAATAAGATGTTCAAAAAAATTCGTTAACAAATTCCACCGGGAACCGCCTCAAATGGCGACGGTCAAACAGAGCCTCCTATATAAGGGGTGATTTGCACTTTTTATGTAAGTTCGAGGGCTTATTTGATAGTTCTCCCTTATAAAATACACGGAGAGCATACATTTACTAGATTACAGCGGACCAGACTTAAATAGATCAGTTTAGCAAATTTCAGTTCAAATAAAAACATCTTATATAATTTTATACAGTGTGTTAATTTTACACGTGGGTCCCATTTTATCTACTCATATATTTTCATATTTATTTATTTTCATTCTCTATATCTTTTCTACCTCATTTTTCATTCACTTTTACTTCAAGAATCTTGTGTAAAATCCATGTGTAGAGATTATCATAGACATTATCTATAATTTATTCACATCTCACTCTTTTATCCATTTTTCCTACACACCACTTTCTTTATACTCCGTATTAAATTAAAATGATCATTTTGTCTCTATCTCTATCTTATTTCACATAGAATGGACCACACTTCACTACACAATTCCATTGAGATGCTCTAACTTATAAACGTCAACTCGGGTGCTCACAGCCTCACACTCGAGTTGGATAAGGATATATTTAATGAGAATATTGTTCTTGGTATGAGTGAATTAGTGAAATAAAACATTCTTCCAAAAATAGGATAATATATTTGATTTTCTTCAGATAAAAAGACAAAATATTACCACCTTCGTTCCATTTTGTGTGTTCTACTTTGGTTTGGCACAATTATTAATAAAGTAGTTGATGAAGTAAAAGTTGCGATTGAGATTTGAGTACAATAAAATGAAATATTGTAAATGACATATTTCTTTTCAAAAAGAAAACATGACACTTATTTTAGAACAACCCAAAAAGAAAAATAGGATAGTTGAAATTGGACAGAGAGAGTATATTTTTATCCCTAACACTCTTAATAATCCAATTAATTGATATAATCAATTGTGTCACTAGTTCCTTTGCATAACCAAGGTCGATCTGTTGGTGGTGGCAGCAAAATTTGGCGGCGATGAACTCCGGCAACTTGCGGTGAAATAGGGTGGTCCGGCGACCTGAGCCAGCAAATCCAATCCAATAAGGGATTTTTTCCAACTTGGGGCCCAGCGACCTGGTAGGCTTGTAGCCCTCCGTTTGTATAATGCAAGACGGGTGAATTTTTTCTTCTCAATCTCATCTGCTAAGGGTGTTGTCATGTTGATATCACTAAAGTTTGTGGCAATAGCCTCTTTGGGACAACTCTGTTTGGTTGCAAGTAGGGCTGGGAAAAACCCCCCGACTCTCGACTCCTGACTCCCGATCCCGATAATCCCGATCCCGACAATCCCGATCCCAACTAGTCGGGAATTTTTCCCGATCCCGACTAAGTCGGGACGGGACCTGGATTTTTTTTTAAAAAAAGTCGGGATCGGGAAAATCCCGACATCCCGACATTATATATATATATATATAAACACACACACATGTATATAATTATATATGAATATATAAAAAATGAATATACATTTATAAAAAAATGAATATGTATCTAAATATTTGCATATCTTTTTTAATTACTTATTCCTTACATAGATTAATCTTTTACTACGAGTATCTTACAATATCAAACTTCTAAAACTATTCGGCATTTTTCTGAAAATGAATATCCGGGATTCTAACTAAATAGAGATTATTCTTGATCCCGACAATCTAAATCACAACAATATTACAAATTTTGCGGTTATGATGAACTCTTTAAAAAAATTATGATCGAGACTAAGATTTCTTTCTTTAGTAAATAATCATAATATGTATTTATACATTATATTCATTGGTCACAAAGTTTCTCAATGAGTCTACTTAGTTTTGAATTTTAAATAATATACGTTACACATCCTTCTTTTAGTGATTTTTATAATATGTTTGAAGTAAGTTTCACTAAGCCTTGATAACTTATTCAAAAATTATACTATTAATTAATTGTGCCTGCCCCGGAGAGTGCCTCGAGGGTCAGGTAGCCGGCAATAGGGCAGATGCCGCCTTGCAACACCTTCTCCACGTCCCCGCTCAGATCGTCGGTCAGCTCCGGAGACTCGATCTTTGGGGGATAACCGTTCCATCGGACCGGGAGAGGAGGGTCGTCGTATCGAAGGAAGAAGAAACGATTCTTCCAATCGTGGATGGACGAAGGGTAGCTCTTGAACAGCCTCCTTCCTGGACGTACGGCCACGCTCAGATAACCATCGGAGTTCTGGGGAGTGATGCGGTAGAAGTAGTGGAACAGGTCCAAAGTGGCAGTGACCCCCGCAAGTTTGCAGCGCACCAGGAAGGCTGATATGAACCTATAAGAATTTGGCATGAATTGCGCCGGGGCCACCTGGAAGCAGTGGAAGAACTCCACATAGAATGAATGGAGTGGAAACCGCAGCCCGGCTTCAACGGAGTCCAAGTGGAGCATGATCATCCCCGGACGTCTCCTCATCACATGCTCAGCGCCTCTCACGCTCCAGACGAACGGCGGGGGGAAGAAAGTGCGGATTTTGTTGAGAGCCACACGGGAGAGGACTTGGTCATGATCAAGGGCGCTCCTGATCGGGCAGACGTGGCGCTCCATATCCATAGGGATGCCCAGATCATGCACCTCCATGTCAGAGCCGGATTCGGCCTCTTCCCCAGAATCATAGTCAGCAGGGCGCTCATTCAGGGGAACTGCATCAATAATGTCTACTGCCCCGTCAGCATTCCCATCCCCGGCGTTGCTCCCGCTACCTTGGGAAGCGTCATCGGGCTCACCATCGGCCCGGATGGTCCCCACAGTCGTGGCTGAACCAGAAGTCCCGGAGACACTGGCCTTCCCGGAGGAGCGCGCACCGGGGTCAGAAGAGGAGCCCGAAGAGGAACCCGACGAACCGGAATCATAACTTGACGAAATCTCCATCGAGGTTATTTTGGCGAGAAGTCAAGACAGATAAAAGAAGCAGAGGAGGAAAATTACCTTACAAGGAGATTAGCCGAACTCGGAAGCGGGGGAAAAACTTGAGGAGCAGCGGAAATTCCGTAGCAAGGGAGCAGAAATTGGGAACCCTAATCCAGAGGGAAAACCCGGCATTTATAGGGGAAGCACCGATGAGGGAACCAACGAGGGGTTGACACGTAGCAAGGAGCGTATCCCGCCTCACGCGCTGTGCGTGGGGTGAAAGCGTAATGATGACATTTCCTCGGAAAATGCACCGTCGCAAAAGCAGCTGTCACCTCGGTTCCTGAGCCATCGACAGCTGTTAAGCATCATGACCACGAACGTACGCCTTCGCCGGATGCAACAAACACAAGTATCAAGACACGAACGTCTACCTCGAGGGACATCATACTTCCTTATGTCCTGGGCATGCTCAGAACATCAGAAGTGGGGGACATGTGTTGGGTTAATGGCCCAAGTTGAGGTCCGGCCCATTTACCCTTACTTCCGGACGCACGTCCAGCTAGATCACTAAGATAGCCTGGCAAGCCCATGTTCCTCCAGGAGGGACGAACGTCTGCGGTTGGGGTTTAGGCTCAACGGCCCATCTCGACGAAGATCTATGCTGGGACAAGGAGCAGGACCACGGGTCACCAGAATGACGACGAACGTCGTCAGAGCAAGCCCATAGCCATCGGAGGCAGTCAGGTCCGCATGGCGAGAATCCACAAAGGCCAGGGGACGAGCGGCCAATACCCCTTGGAGGCCACCTGGAGCAATCCAGCTCGCTCCCCGGGCGGACGAACGTCCCCACTAATTAGGCGGGAAACCTAGATTCTGGCGGGAAGTGCATTTAATGCTGAAGATTTGGTGGTTGGGACACCAGCGAACCGCAGGCTTCCACGTCAGTATAGCCACCTGCCCATTGGTGGGTATGAATAGAAGCATTTATTTCATTGTAAAGGGTTCACAACTTTCTATTCTTAGCACTCTAGCTATAGCATTCTTACTCGCAGCCCTTCTACTGCCTTGTAAGACGAACGGCCGACGAGCCTTAG